GGGAGGGTGCTCTCCTCTCCTCCTACCATTCTGCGCCCCCCACCCCGTGAAACAGATTCGCTGTGAGACGTTTTTAATGCTGCACCCCCCCCCCCGCCCCGCCCCCCTCGATGTCATATTTAAACGGTCTTTTGGAGTTGAGATGTCCTTGATGGTGACGCTACTCCCGACTTTAATCTTGTACAAAACCTGGAAAAGAGACAACGGGACAACATGGTTGTGTTTTATTTTCTTTTTATTCTGCGTTTCTCACTGCAGAAGAAACGCCACCGGTGACCGTGTATGAACTGAGACTGAAAAAAAGGGTTATTCTGTATATACAGAGATTCTGATACGTTACATTGCTGTGTTGTACAAAGCAGATCTGTGCTTGTGGCTGTGTTTTTTATCTAATTTATTTTACAGTATTTTTGCTTCATTAAAACTCATGGGTTGTACACTAGAACTTGAATCATCAGTGTGTGATTTCTTGAGCTCGTGTGGCCCCTGAAGGTTGCGTCCAGCATCCAGGACTGATTCCCATGTCACTCCCACACTTTATCCATTTTATTTGGCTTCATTCATTTAGTCCTGGACAGCGACCATCATGCAGGTATTAAGTATGAAGAGTTGAACATGTAAGGCATAAAATGGGAAGTAAGTATCACTTCGACCAGATTCTGTGCAGCTTTCAGACTGGGAGAACAGTGGTTGAATGCTTGATGGGTATGAAAGCAGCTCAGCTGAGAAGATCTCCCAAAATTAAACAGATCTACATGGGTCCCTGTGGCAGGAGCCACCTGTCTCTGTTTGGCACCTTCAAACAGGCAGACACCAGGCCAGATAGCAGCACCATGTCATTCACCAGGCACCTTAGAAAGTCCATCCATCCATCCAGTCATGGTCAAAGTTGATGTTGCATCATGTGGGGGGGTAGGGGTGGTTATGTTTTTTGACAGGTTTGCTAAGTCAGCACCTCCCTCGGAAGATGGCACCCTGGGCAATTGCCCATCTTGCCCTTGCCAGGATCTGCCACTCCATCCATCCATCCATCCATCCATCCATCCATCCATCTATCCATCCTTGTGGACTGCTTATCCAGTACAGGGTTGTGTTGGTCCTGGAGCCGGAAGTAGGGGGGCACACAGCACATGTGAAGCTGCCTGGCTGCCATGCCCCCCACACCTCAGAAATAAACGCCTCATTTTTGTATTGTGAACGAGCCCTGGGAATCCAGTCAGGGAACAAGCGTGTCACATGACGTGCTTTGAAGATACCAGTCCTGACTCTTGAGGGTATTTTTAGGGTACAGCCTGAGCCTCATAAGCAAATACTGTCAGACAGAATAATGTGACCCAGCACCCAAAACAGCAAGATGCATCAGCGGTCAGGAATGTTTGGCTGGTTAAAGGAAATATTAACATTTCTGGTGCTACGTGGACGTTGGCTTTATGGTAATGAAAGGTTTAAGTTACGTTTTAAGTGCTGGGATTTTCCGCTTATAAAACATAACTTTGCGAGTTTCGTGACTGATTCCACATGGCAGGAGCAGCGTGGCTTTGACGTGGGTATGGCAGCGTCTCTGTGCATGATGCTCTTGTGGTTCGGACTGTTTGCGGCTGACGTGTTGTCCTGTTTAATTTATTGTACCGCCCTTTTCATGAGAAATATCACATATGTTTATTTATGGACCCTTTTGGTTTCATATATACACTAGGGGACATGGGGGTGTGCCCGTGTGACCCGTAGAGGGATTCCCCCCCCCCACCGCTTTGCTTTCGGGAGCAACCAGTATGGTGAGCTACATATGTCTGTCAGTATCTTTTATCTGCTGGACCATCAGTCGCTGATGACCATTCCCAGGTATGTCAGACGTCTCTAATCTACAGAGGCGCAGAGGATTGTGGGCCACACTGTGACATCACATCTCAGAGCAGGGCTGCCTCAGTTCTCTGTGTCAGGAGTTTGCCCGTGTTTGTGAGGGCGATCTTCCACAGCCCAAAGTCCTGTAGCTCCAATTTGCATAGAGAATCCTTTAAAATCACCAGTTAGCAAAAAAGAGTAACATGAAAAATACTATCAGTGTATTTGATTACTGAATGAACTGCAAAGTACCTCCCACAAGATGTGGACAAGAGGGCCATCTCTCTCTGAGAAGTCCTGACCGTATGCAGGCTCACTTTGTCCAATCAAATAAATTTACACTGACAGACCTGATAGAAATTCCACTATCAGCACAGATGGATGTAAAATGTGACATTTGATACTATTAGTATTGCAGGGCTGATCATTTCAGACTGAATGTGACCATACAGGACAGTGTTTAAGGACAAATGTTCAGTCAGAAATGAGCTCAATGCTCAGGAATCGGCACCTGCATTGAGGTGTTTCGTTTGCACTATTTGTGAATGTGATGCAACTGAATTCAAAGTATAGAAGTTTCTGCCCAAGGCCAATTTCTGACCATAGACCAGTGGAAACTCAATAAACAAATTAATTCTTGGGTTATTGCTGATTCATAATGATGAAACAGATGAAGTCTCTCAATGCTAAATCAGTTCAAAGCTAACCAGAGAGGTCCAAGGTTAAGTGTCCTCTGGGGTTACTGACTAATACATGCGTCGTACTTGTTTCCAGGGGCAACAACCATGCCAAAAAATGAGAGAACGAGTTATCTTGAAGGCAGCATCAACAAAGCGAGAGTAAAGCAATGCTTCACCGCGCGTGCGGACCACAAGGCTGACTGCCAGAAAGTGACATTGAGGCTTAGCAGGAACCAAAACATGGGTCTGAACATCTCCCGACAAGGGCACTCCATGAAAAGGCCTCCAGGCCGGTAGCTCCGAACAACCACCATGACATGAGGAGGACCTCATGATGCTTTAGGAATCCACACTCATTCAGAGAACCAAGGAGACACAGAGAAACACAGCGGTGCCTGTGAATTTATCCCTTCATTGGCAAATCATTCTCTCATAGGCCACTACCTGTAAGTTCACAGGGGACCTGTAGGGGGCGACACAATGCTGACCAGCATGATACCATTATAAGCAGGATATTCCCCTCTCCCAGTTGACCAGTAGTCCACAGGGCACAGGACCCTCAGAGGGAAAAAGAGTCTTAAAACAGCAAGTCTGGCTTATACAGAGCTCACCCTAAGGCCCCGACACTCATAGTCATGCAGAACAAGCTCCATTTTAACTCATATGTGTATTGAAGACTGTTTCAGCGTTAATGTAGCATATCGAGACCTACTCCCCTTCGTATTAAACCACTTAATTGTTTAACTCATGCGGCCAGTACAGTTCGGCAACCCGTAAACAGTGAGTCAGTTCAGACATGTCTGGAAACATTCAAACATTTTTAGCGTCTGCGTGGGTTATGTTTTATTTAATGTTCTATTGCATTTAAGACTCGGAGGTGGGGGAAAAAAAAGTCAAAATCCCCCGTTACGTGGGAAATTCATTATTCATTCATTTATTGAGAGATGCTGGTATATTTAGACTGTGCTTATTTGAGAGTGCGCTATGCGTCACCATCCACTTTACACACCGTTAGAGTGTGTAAACTGGAAAGCAACACGTCGTGTTATGCTTTTGTGAAAGGCTCCCGGGATTATGCCGTTGGTCTTTAACAATCCAAAGGTGGAAAGTTCTGGTCCAGAAAGCACAAATCCAGACCAAGATTTTGTTTCAACCAACCAATAAAGAATCACAGTCACTGAGTATTCAACTGGTTGGTTGAAACAAAATATTGGTCTGGATTTTAACTTTCTGGACCTAAACTTTCCACCTCTAATGTAATCAGAGTCTCCAGCTTTATCTCCCTCTCCGTGTACATTTCTCAGATGAGGACCTTGCACGTATCAACTTTCCAACAGTGTGACACAATCCCATCACGCGGAGGAGCCGGCCCTGAACTCAACACTTCCACCAGTGTTTGCCGAAAGACACGGCCGTCACAATTCTGCCCTATTCCCTCCTAAGTGCTATCGAGGCTGCACTCAGCAACTGCCCCATGACTTACCTACAAAATGACAGAGAAGTAAAACACAGCCAAGCCATCAGATTCCCAAGTTTTTTAACTGCATGCTCGGTAATAAATCTAACAGCACAATGACATATGTGAGGTTAAGCAAACGGCATCTGCACAGACAGAAGCAGAAACTTGCCCCCCACATTGAAGCTGTAGCATGTAGCTCATTGTTATGAGTCTGCACATTACGTCCAACTGGACGAAAGTTGCTAAATCAATCAAAATAGCTAGTTTTTATTCATAATTATATGCTCCTGTAGCTGGGACTCGATCTCCAGAGACTTATTAATTATGTACATATTAATGGAATGGCACCAAAATAAACCAATCGCATGATGAAATTCTCAAGAGAGGACATCAAAGTATATTTGATGTTGTACAGCAAGAAAAATCAGAGAATGACATACTGATTACATATTGTCTGTTTTGTTCACAGTTTTAGTTTATTCCACCCAGGAACAAGCAAGAATTCAAACACATTGTATTTAAAATGACTTTTTGTATGGCAGTCAGATGTATCCACACCATATGGTTCCTGCCTGCTCTGTTCTTACTTGCGTTTGGAGATATTTTTTGTGTTTGGAAAGAGCGGGGTGGAAATAAGATTTCTTACTTTGGCAAGTTATTGCGAACAAATGTGCTCTGTCATTGTTTAAAAGAAGAATTACAATAAAAATAAAGGCTCCCTCTATTGATGCAGGGCTACTTTACTGAATAAGCTTCTCAGAAGCACATATCATATTAGCAAGACGTGGCCCCACAGACACAGAGCAAACCAACACACCAGGCCGACATGGACCATTTCTGTACTGCGCTCCGCTGACATACAGCAAAAAATATGAATTTGTATGCTTATTTACTTTGCAATTTGGATTGTGTTCGCAAGACAAGACACACTGCTTCGTTTTATTAATGCAAACGAAGTCACGTCAGTGATGCAAACGAAGTCACCGCTCTTCACGAGGGAGCTGTCACAAGCTGCTCTCCCCGGCACACGGCCATCCTGCAATTAATTCCCTTCGCGTGCTAATCGAACATGTCAGCTAGACATATCAGTAGAATTTCTTTACTTAATCGAACCCAGGAAAGGCTTTGATAGCCTGATTTTGCAATCAAATGCGCAAAAAGTGAAACAGCACAAGTACATTCCTGTTCCAAGTAACTTTCCGAAGTGACAGAACGGATGGGAAGCACATGGAACGCAGCATCTCCTAGGACACGCTGCTCTCGTTAAAAGCATGTCAGTGCCAGTGGAATATCACGTTAATAAGTCCTGATTTACGCATACTGGTCATATATTTAGACAGTTTGAGACTGATAACCAGCTGATCTTGCCTGGGACTTACTGTAACCTGTGATCTCACACAGCAGCCCTGAGGTCTAGCCCGTGCTGAAGTGTAAGACAGGCAGGCGAAGGTAAAGCTGTCCTGTCAGGTGAATCCAGGCTGTATCAGTCATCAGAGATGGATCACGCAAATCTTTTTTTTCCCCGTTGCATTTATTGACCAGTCAGAGAATTATTGGAATCACTGTACATCCAGTAGGAGTGTTTTTTGTTTTGTTTTGTTTTGTTTTGTTTTGTTTTGTTTTTTTTGGGGGGGAGGGAGGGGTGGGAATTCAAAGGGAATTCCATGTATAATAAGATGTCATGAAAGCGAATTCCAGAAGGGCGGCGTTTTGAGCCCCAGATGTGTTCTGGAGTTACCAGGTCACTGACATCCATTTTTCCAGCACATGGGATCATTACCATTCTCCAAAGAAGCGACATTCTGCCAGAATTCCCTGACACTGGGGGAAAAGGGCTGCCATGTTTATACCTGTACTGGGCGTCTACCACACAATAAATTACATAAAGACAGAGCCTGTAGATACAGGCACAATGACCTCAATCTCTGTGTATGTTTAACATGCAATTTCATAACAAGCTATCTTGGGCATACTGTACTTGCTGTTTTAAAATATTTGTTTAATTCTTTAAAAGTTAATTTTACTCAAATAGTGAGAGAAAGTCAGGTGGCTACAGCAAACAGAATCACATGATACAGGCACTTGGCACCAATTAGCTTGGCACCAATCAGAGTCAGGCCAGACCTGATGGGGCCAATATGACCCAAAGCTAAACAGAAAAATCAAGGAAAAGCAAACAAATTTGCAGATGACACTTTGAGGAACAAATAAGTGAATAAACATGTGGACGTTATGGGTTTTGAGACCAGCGTGGACGCTGGGGTCTGGGTCACTTGTGGGAAACCAACACAGTACAACGTATACAAACTGCTCAGAATGAGGAACACATGGAACCAATCAGGATGGATAATCAGGGTCACCTGACTCTCCTTCCAGAGGGGCTGGCAGGCAGCTTGCTCTAACACAGATGTATCTGTGTATCCATGAAAAATAAAAACTAATCGTGCACGCTCTCGGCTGTTTGCCGTTATTTTCTTAAATGTTTCATTACTTTATGCATGTAATCCTTCAGTGCTTTATGCATGATCTTATACATTTATGCTCTCTTCTGTGATTTTTGCAGCCCTCTTATGTGAATATGTATTTTAATGCATAGAAAAGCATGACCATGACCTAGCATTTGATGCAGAAATGTTGACCCATTGACCCGACGTCGCTATGCATGCAGAATAACGCTGCAAGAGATCAGGAGGTCCTGCCAACCGAGGACCAAATCCCAGAGTAAACAGAGGTCATTTCAGGAAAAGTGATGTTACTTGTCTCTAACATTGCAGGAAGCCATGTGCTGTGACTTGTGTCTAAGAGTGCAGGACTCCATGTGATGTGACTTGTCTGTAACATTGCAGGACGCCATGTGATGTGACTTGTCTGTAACATTGCAGGACGCCATGTGATNCCATGTGATGTGACTTGTCTGTAACATTGCAGGACGCCATGTGATGTGACTTGTCTGTAACATTGCAGGACGCCATGTGATATGACTTGTCTGTAACATTGCCGGGCACCATGTAACACTGCGCTTCTCTGCAGTCAAACTGCCCAGCCGGTAAGCTCCATTATCACATCTGACAGCTGTACAATGAGCTCCTTTTCCCTCAGATGTAACTGAAACACGGCATGGTAGGAGACCGAGGCCAGGGGCACAGGAGTGATTCTAAGGGGGTCTAGCTCCCTCTCCGAGCCTCTGCACTCCTTCTCCATCTCCATAAACGTCTATTTTCAGTTCCTCTCTCTCTTTGTGCCTTGCATGCAAATACTCAATTAGTGCTGATTAGTATATATCGGATTTGCGGTAAAGATAGTCAGAATCATGGTATGATGAGAAACCAGCGATATGCCGAACATGTTCTAGGTCCTGCCTGCTGTCAAACCAGGGCCCACAGGATTTAGGGATCTAATCAAGCACCTCTGTAATCTGTGGGAAGTTCAAGTTTGTTGACATGAGCGAAATGGTTCTCCGTTTAGCAGGGTTTCAACTCTGCCGCTAGAGCTTCACATGATGACCTGGTTCCCACAGCACGGAAATGTGGCGTAACCCAGGTGAGGCGTGTTTCCAGTGAGAGGCACCAGGCAGTCTCCCTGGCATGGTCGATACGGAATCCGCTTCTCCGGCGGCCTGACCCGTGTGATCGTAGCCTGGGCCACGGCAGCATGGGGAACATATGGCTGGGTGACATTCTACCTCGTCGGAGGAGGAGCACCAATCAAACACCTGTCCCCCTGAATGTCCCCTGTGAAGCCCGCCGCGCTATCGGATGAATCTGATATCTGCATTGTAAGCTTTGGGGCTATTCCCCCCACCCCCAAAGAGCCGACAATGTGCTTTCGTAAGACTGACCCCTGAGCTGACGGTGACTTTATGTGAGGAACCTCCTGGGAACTCCACATCAGAAAGAATTATTTCAAGGCTGCCAAAGGTTTAATCTGACACACAGCTCCGAACATGGTGCAAATCAGCATCCCTATTGGGCCGTGGAGAGGAATCTGGCAAAACTGCTATTAATTCAGCTCCTTGGGAAAAGGGCTCGCCGTGGCGACATACAAATCCCAGACAAGGTGGTCTGTTGTTTTTCAGGGCTGAGAAGAACATATCATCTCTGTTGGCTACCAAGGATTTTGCCCAGTGACAATAGGAGTGAGAGTGACTTGGAAATCTAACACTTGCCTCTTTGTTTGTCGTGGAAAATTAGAACGACACTCAACAGACTGTACGGCTCCTCTGTTATCTTTACAAACTTTCCGTTCTCTTTCTTCTCCCGCAGTGATGTGGACTCCTTTATGGTTATGGTGTGTTGCACACGGGGCTTCTGTAAACTAATACCCCAAGAGAATACAAAAAGCACATTCAGGACAACACAGCGCCCCAAATAAACACATGTTGGCATCGGAGCAGCAGGAGTTTAATTTTCAAGTCCATTGGTGCGATGACCCAAAATGGCATAAATGAGACCACAATGTGATTATTTGCAGGGTATATTTCTGGCCTGAACATGATCACAGCATTTAATAGCTGTGCTAAGGCAGAACTTGTGATGAAACTCTTACAAGAAGAAGCCCTTTAGATCCCCAAGTCCACACACAACTACATTTTTGTGCTACTTGCTGAAGCTGGCAACAATATATAAAGCTATAATATTCACAAGTACATGCTATATTTTTATTGATAAACACATATAATAATCTCCAATAGAATAAGTCATCACATGCCTGTAAGCCAATCACAGTCTTCACTGTCTGATTTTACAGATGACTTAACACTCCTACATTGCACAAATCAGGTTCTGCTGGATCTCAGTGATGGCTCCTGGGGCTTGATCCTGGACTGTGCTTTTACAGGGGGCTGTAGAAGATTATATGCTTGAGCAGACCTTGGGATATGGACTTCTAACATGCTGATGTTTTATCATTAAAGGTCTCTACTCAACCAAATACCAACCTCACAGCTTTCAAAGAGCAGCAAGTAGACAAGATGAAGATTGATTATGATTGCAAGTCCAAATTATTGTAAGTCCAGCTTGAAAATGATACTGTGTGTGTGATGCTTAGATGATGACCAGATGAGTGTTTGAAAGAGTTGTTAATCAAAAGGTTCAAAGAGAGCTTCACTGATGTGTTTGCAGCTACTTCTGTAAAAGCATGCAATTCCGTGTGCATGTTAAAGAAAGATATTTTTTAAATTTCCCATTAAGCAGTTATTTTTTCCTAAAAGGATTACCAAAATATGAATATCAACATAATACCCCAGCATTTTAAATGGAAGTAACTGTGAGGCCATGAAGCTTGCCCATTCGTAGTATTTCATTGCCACATGGCACTTAAAAAATTGTGCATAAAAAGCCATGAACAGATCACAAGCAAAAAGCGAAAGAAAGATCAGACTCAAAATCTTAAGTGAAGATCAGATTCATGCTCTGATTGGAAATTTCATGTAGATGAGCTTCATGCTTTGGTTGGAAATGAGGTGAAGATCAGCTTCATGCACTGGCTGGGAATGAGGTAAAGATCAGCTTCGTGGTCTGGCTGAGAATGAGGTGAAGATCAGTTTCACACTCTGACTGGGAATGCAGTGAAGATCAGCTTTATACTCTGGCTTAGAATGAAGGGAAAATTAGCTTCACGCTATGACTGGAAATGAGGTGAAGATCAGCTTCACACTCTGATTGGGCATGCAGTGAAAATCAGCTTTATGCTCTGGCTGGGAACGAGGGAAAGATCAGTTTCATGCTCTGACTGGGAATGAGGTGAGGATTAGCTTCATGCTTTAGTTGGGAATGAGATGAATATCAGTTTCATGCTCTGGCTGGGAATGAGGTAAAGATCAGATTCATGGTCTGGCGGAGAATGAGGTGAAAATCAGTTTCACACTCTGACTGGGAATGCAGTGAAGATCAGCTTTATACTCTGGCTGAGAATGAAGGTAAAATTAGCTTCACACTATGACTGGAAATGAGGAGAAGATCAGCTTCACAGTCATACTGGGAATGAGTTGAAGGTCAGTTTCACACTCTGATTGGGCATGCAGTGAAAATCAGCTTTATGCTCTGGCTGGGAACGAGGGAAAGATCAGCTTCATGCTCTGACTGGGAATGAGGTGAGGATCAACTTCATGCTCTGGTTGGGAATGAATGGACAATCAGCTTCACAATTATAACTAGGAATGAGATGAAGATGAGCTTCACATTCTGACTGAGATTAAAGTAGAAATCAGCTTCATGGTCTGGCTGGCAATGAAGTGATGATCAGCTTCACTCTGTCTCTGGGAATGAGGTGAATTTCAACTTCACACTCTTATAGGGAATGAGGTGAAGATCAGTTTCATGCTATGACTGGAAATGAGATGAAGATCAGCTTCATACTCTGGGTGGAATGAGGAGAAGATCAGCTTCACATTCAGACTGGGAATGAGGTGAGGATGAGCTTCACATTCTGGCTAGCAATGAGGTGATGGTCAACAGCACACTCTGACTGGGTATGTAGTGAAGGTCAGGTTCACGCTCTGGCTGGGAATAAGGTCAAGATCAGTTTTGCATTGTTGCTGGCCATGAATGGATAATCAGCTTCACATTGTGGCTGAGAATTAGGTGAATATCAACTTCGTGTTCTAGCTGGGAATGAAGTGTAAATAAGCTTGACTTTGGCTGGGAATGAGGTGAAGATCAGCTTTATATTCTGGCTAGGAATGAAGTAAAGATAAGCTTCATAATCTGACAGGGAATTCAGTGAACATTTGCTTCACACTCTGGCTGGGAATGAGCTGAAGATTAGCTTCACGTTCTGGCTGGGAATGAAAGAACAATCAGCTTCACACTTTGCAAATGAGGTGAAGATTAACTTCACACTCTGACTGGCAAGAAGGTGAAGATCAGCTTGCTGCTTTCACTGAGAATGTCATGAAGATCAGCTTCATACTTTGCATGGGAATGAGGTGAAGACCAGCTTTACATTCTGGCTGGGAATGAAAGGACAATCAACTTCACACTGTGGCTGGGAGTGAGGTGATTATCAGCTTCACACTCTGGCTGGGATCAAAGTAGCAATTAGCTTCACATTCTGACTGGCAATGAGGTGATGATCAGCTTCACACTATCTCTGAGAGTGAGGTAAATATCAAGTTCACATCCTGACAGGGAATTAGATGAAGATCAGCTTCAAGTTTTGAACTGGAATGAGTTGAAGATCAGCTTTACACTTTGACTGGGAATGCAGTGAAGATTAGCTTCAAGCTCTGGCTGGCAATGAGGTGAAGACCAGCTTCATGTTCTGCCTGAAAATCAAGTGACAATAAGCTTCCTGATCTGGCTGGGAATAAGGTGAAGATCACCTTCACACTCTGCCGGGAATTCACTGATTTGGAATGCAGTGAACATTATAGCTTCAAGATTTTAATGTGAATGAGTGAAGATAAGCTTCACAGTCTAGCTGGGAGCGAAGTGAAGATCAGCTTCACACTCTTAATGGGAATGAGGCGAAGATCAATTTCATGTTTCTCTCAGAATAAAGTAAAGATCAGCTTCATGCTCTGACTAGGAATGAGGTGAAGATCAGTGTTACCTCCTGTTTGGGAATGAAGTGAAGATCAGCTTTACGCTCTGGCTGGGAATAAGGTAAAGATCATTCTGGAAATCTTTCTAAAGAAATATCCAGTCTGATTTTTAGTTTAAATATCTCTGGTGTGTGAGAGATTTTATGGGAAAGAGCCTGACTGTTTCACATTAAGGCATGCAGTTTCATTTTCTCATGCCTTTGTATCACATAAATGTCATAGCTGTCCAGATTATTTCAGAAACCTTTAGTTTTTGCAGGACCGATCCCATTCACGTTGCTCAATGGCTTGTTGACTGCAAGTTTCTCTTGCCCTCCTGTTCCATATTTTATGAACAGCAACATCTCCAAATTGCAATCCAAGACAATTTGCTAAGTTTGCAGGCATCATTAATGTATATTTACTACTTCCTAAACATACACTCTCCACCCTGGTCATTTGACCACTGGGCGCAGGTCCTTCCTGTAGCAGGACTGATGAATAATACAGATGGATTCATCTGGAAAATAAATAATGAGCATTCTCCTGCCAAACCTGCTGCCTGTGCACCAAATGTCCCCAGAAGTCCAATCGCAAAAAAAAAACCCAGTTTCATCTCTTTTTTTAAATATTGAACATTATTTTAAAAAAAGCATCATTACAGTATATGCTGGTCTTGTAAACAGACACCTTAAAGTAAACATTTCTGTCCAGTAAAGGAGAGGAGGGCAGGGTTTCTTACATCCTGACACTTGTTCAGCAAAGCACTGTGTGCAGCGGATCAGGAAGGGCGATGGTCAATGAGGGAGAGACACTGGGGACATAGGGGGCACTGGACAGATGCTAAACTCTGCAGGACAGTCTCTGCTTTGGGAAACACCCAGCCTCTGCTGCTGTGGTCAACGCAAACTCAGGGTGATGCAATGTTTGCAGGCTGGATGGAGGCCGGATTCCCCTCTGCTGGCTCCACTGGGCTCCGCTGATCATCCACGACGCCGACCCGTCAACCTGCCTGCTGGTTGTGCTATTCTGTCACGCTCTGCTTTGGACTGGAAGGAGTGCAGAAATAAAAAATGAGGACACTGCCATCCTCAGTACCCCAAGCTGCGAGAAAACGATTGATACATTAATAGCAAAGCTATACTCTGAAATGGAGGAACAAATATATTAATACCAAAGGTATACTCTTAGATGCAGGAACTGATATACTAATACCTAAGATATACTCTGAAATATATACTGTATTAATGCTTCATCAAAAATATTATTAAATCAGTGCTCTTCTCTTGTCTGTGGCACTGATAAATCACTGTCTTTGAAGAGCGGCAAAGAGCAGTAGCACTGTTTTATAAACTAACAACAGCCATTTACCAAAACACTGGCTCACCCCTCTGTCTGTGAAAATCTGAATTCATGAACGTTGAATTCAATCCCGTAGATAAGTGGCAGGCAGTTATGGCCGTTGGCTTGGGGCGCGCTTTTTGCTACCATGTATTTGTAATAACATTTCCTATTGTTTTGGAATCCCCACAGCAAACAGTTCTTGTTCAATTGATAAACTGGCTTCTCAAGCTAATATCTGAATAGCTGGGCTTTTATTGGGGCCTTTTGCGCTCTGGCTGCATATACTGCAGGCGTCAATATTACAGGCTAATTTTTTAAGCTTGTGTGAATTGCGAATATACTTGAGAATGTCATGATTATTAAATAATAATAAAGTCATATGATCAGAAATATAGCTAAGGTCCATACCGCCGGGGCTAGGGGTTTGAATCCTGCCCACAATGCCAGTGCTGGGGGTTGGGGGTTTGAACCCTGTCTACACTGTGGGGGGTGAGGGTTTGAATGCCTCCCACATCACCAGGGATGGGGGATTGAATCCTGCCCACACCGCTGGGGCTGGGGGGTTTGAATCCCGCTCCCATTGTCAAGGCTGGGAGATTGACTCCTGCTCACATCTCCAGGGCTGGGGGTTTAAATCCTACCCTCTGCAGCAGAGCTTGGGGTTTGAATCCTGCTCACATCACCAGGGCTGGGAGATTGAGTCCCGCCCATAGCACCGGCGCCTGGGGTTTGAATCCCGCTCACATCACCAGGGCTGGGGGTTTGAATCCTGCTCACATCACCAGGGCTGGGGGATTGAATCCCGCCCATAGCACCGGCGCCTGGGGTTTGAATCCCACTCACATCGCCAGGGCTGGGGGTTTGAATCCTGCTCACATCACCAGGGCTGGGGGATTGAATCACACCCATAGCACCGGCGCCTGGGGTTTGAATCACGCTCACATCGCCAGGGCTGGTGGTTTAAATCCTACCCTCTGCACCAGGGCTTGGGGTTTGAATCCTGCTCACATCACCAGGGCTGGGGGATTGCATCCCGCCCATTGCACCAGCGCCTGGGGTTTGAATCCCGCTCACATCGCCAGGGCTGGGGGTTTGAATCCTGCTCACAGGACCAGCGCTGGGGGTTTGAATCTCGCTCACAGCACTGGCGCTGGGGGTTTGAATCCCTCTCACAGCACCAGGACTGGGAGTTTGAATCCCACTCACACCACCAATGCTGGGGGTTTGAATCCCGCTCACATTGCCAGGGCTGGGCGTTTGAATCCTGCTCACAGCACCAGCGCTGGGGGTTTGAATCCCGCTCACATTGCCAGGGCTAGGGGTTTGAATCCTGCTCACAGCACCAGCCCTGGGGGTTTGAATCCCACTCACATTGCCAGGACTAGGGGTTTGAATCCTGCTCACAGCACCGGGCTGGGGGTTTAAATCCCACTTCACACTCTGACTTGGAAGAGAAAACAATGCAAAGATGTGGACAGATACAGGGGACAATAATGGGTGAATGGGAAGAGCACTGGGCCTCAGGCAGAAAGACCTGGGGGGGAAGGCTGCTGTCTTGGGGCTCATTCATTTCTTGCCTCTATGTTTGTCTAACCTCAGTGGCAGTGACGTAGCTGACACAGGCAGCCATTGTCCGAAGCCTCTGCGACCTTAGAGTCTCTTGGGGACTGTACAAATATTTTTCTTGCAAAAACGTCAAGCTCTGACAGATTTATTGTGTCGTGAATCCTTTATATACTCTGCTGGACGTGAGGGGCTCTCTCCTGGTGACTTTACGGGGAGGGGAGGGAATTAAACCATGTGTACATGTTATGATTGTGATCACATTCGTTGACAGAAGATTTTCTCATTGTAAGTAAAAAAAAAATCAGAGCTACTTTATATCTCGTGGGCGTCTCACTACAGTGGATTCCTTCTAAAACCTGCTAAATTGAGCATATCAGCACTGGCTAATCCGAACCCAGGATCTGAACGTGTTAAACCACTAATTCACATCCAGTGTCTTTTTATTAAGCCTAGATATATGCTGTAATGTGACACAAAACATGTGACGTGATTCTCTGGAGCAAGAAAACTCAGTCAGTGTAATACAGTTAGAAAATATCTGTTGTTAGGACAAAATAAATATTTTTTCACATACTTTAAACGGGGGGCACCCCCCACAATCTCAGCAGAATGTGTGTGTCCCAGCCACGCAGACATTTACTTTGGTTATACTGTCAGATGCCAGATAAACAGCACTCCTGTGTGACCGCTCTACACTCGACTTGTACTGTCTGCCATAGATGCAAACCGTATAGTGGCTGATAAAACTGCAGGCAAATCATTAAAACCCAGACATAAATATTAATTTTTTTGCCCGCGGTTACTGCATTTCTCATTTTGTGGTGTTGAATGTGATGCATATTAAGGGGAAACGTTTCAGTCTGCAATTATTTGATTAATAAATGTTTGATATTGCATATGTGTGATGGGTTCTCATACCCAGTCAGCTGGGGGGTCTCTAGCGCCTTTTACAGATTGTGAATGACTGGGGGGGGGGGTCATGTTTTTAGGGATCTGCCCCCCAACGAATTGAATCAGACGGTCTGTTTGATCTTTTCTTTCTGGTGTGGCATTTCTTTGATGGGTTTACAGGGGATCTGGCCAACGCACATGAATCGCTCGGGACTGAGAGTAACGCCGTCATAAGGTTATTCCCTTTGGTGGCCTGGCTGGACCGGCTAAATGCTGAGGCGCCTGTCTTGTCCAATTAAAATAAACTCTGTTGCCCAGCTGCGTATGGAAATACTGTCTCAATTGCAACAAAATCATCAAATCATCACCATGTGGAGGATATTAAACTATATGACAGACTTTGGCGAGGTCTCCATTCCCAATGGACTCGGTGCGATAAACTGAAGAGTTAAGGGGGTGAACTAAGTGTCACACCAGACCTTAGAGGTTTGGTTAGACCTGACGGAGCACCTGATGGATTCCTGAACAGAAGAACAAGGACAACAGCACTGATGAGTATGTGTGACCAGATTCGAAGTTCCCCTGGAAAGTGCCCGAGGTATCTCTGAACCTTCTGGCGCTCGTGTGAGATCTTCAGACGTGAATTTCTGAGATCTGGATGAACGTCTGTGGGAAGCACATTTTCCTCACTGCTAGCGAGCGCCAGTGATGCAGGAAGTGTGACATAATGCCATCTCACGCAGTAAGATCCGGGATGACCGCAGGCCAGATCTGATATTGCGCCGCAGTTCGGATCACTAGCATTTTGTTTGGTGGTTTCATCAGCGTGTCCTCACAGGGACGAGTTTAGAACATCCTAAAATAGAGTGCCGGAGGGGAAGCAAGTTTTCCTCAAGCTCCACAGATGATAGATATAATCATGACAGTCACTTACGACCTGAACAAGCTGCCAGGTCCACATGGAGAATTCATACTAACTCGACTTTTCCCGCAGCCGTGGAAAAGATACAAGTTGCTGATGAAGCTCACAGCCCCCGGATAGTAATTAATGAGGAAACGGGACAGCAGAGAGCTCTACTTGGGAAGGGCCAGTGTTGGGCATTTCTGGTCCAGAAGCTATAAATCCAGACCAAGATTTTGTTTGTACCAACCAGTTGAGTACTCTGTGACTGTGACTCTTTATGCTCAACTAGTTGGTACAAACAAAATCTTGGTCTGAATTTATAGCTTCTGGACCAAAAATGCCCAACATTGGGAAGGGCACATGTGAAACGTTGTATTGCTACTGGTGTTACTGCCGCCGGGTCTAAGGTGAGCATAAACCACCTGATTTTGCCGCATGATGCGCAATGCGGGGTTTGGTATTTTCAAACGGTCTTTTTTGTCTGCGGGTCCCCATTGACCATATGTGACTCATTCATGTTTTCTTGTCGTCAAAAATTCAGAACATCCCATATTGTGATAATATGAAATCAGCAGCATGTGTGTGTGGTTAGTGAATGGAACTAGACCAGAGTAAAGGATAAGAATGTGGCGTAATTATTTGAATGAAATGTTGAGCATTTTAATAAGTCTCCATATTCGATCCAGTCATTGAACTGAACCCATGGAAACTCCAACAAGGAATCTATCAATGCTAATGATATTCAAATGAGATGCAAAGGTTTCTGGTTTTTATGAGAATAACATAGTTATTTCTGAAGAGTTGAATCACCGAGGGGGCTTCAATGGCACAGGTTGATTAGTCTAATAAGAATTTCTTGGAAACTTATTGCCTGAGATGATTGAAACCGCTCTTCCGCTTCAGTGACGTCAATCTCCACATGAACAGGCCTGCGCTGACAGTCACTGGGGATACAGGGCAAACCATAAAAGTCAAACAATATCAAGTAATTGTGTGATAATAGCCACTGGGAGAGTTCGCGAGTGTGGGCTGAGCTGGGGGGGGATGCATTATACATATTTATTCTCGATAAAATACTGGCACTCCATGCAACTGGCAAATCCTCAGCATAGCTGCCAAAGCACAAACAAATAAGCTGTAAATAGAAAGTAAACAAACTTTCATTCACGGTGAGTGATGGTTGCTGTCCACAGCCAGCATATAAGCAGACGTAATGATTGCACTAAAAGCCCAGCTTAGAACGGTACCAGCACTGGCCCAAATCGTCACCGGTCACTCATTCTTCACACCAGGAAAGGGTCTCCATCCAGAATAGCCTGCCTGACACCTGAAAGCATCTTTATGCAATGACTGTGTATTTCCTAAGATGAACTCCTGTTGTGGGAATCTGGGGACTCACTGAAATATGTGTCACATAATTTGATAAATGGCCTTTGTGTTCTAGTGCGTTGTGGTTCCGGATGGCGAGTGTTCAACACTGTTGTAGTGTCAGAGGTGTTTCACTTCCTGTTTCTCCTTTTTAAGAACTGTAATAGTTTACTCTCTTTCTCCTGAGTCTTGATATGTTTATAATAATAATAACGAAAATCCCCAATCATTAGTCTCAGGTGTGATGTTAGGGTCCCTTGAGGATCCCGTCATTCAGCTACGGCGGAGACGCGGCGCACAGAGCCGTCAGGGAAGCACACCTCTGTTCAGGAGATGCCTATATTTGGGAGACCTCAGCCCAGATCTGTCAGAGAGGAAGCGCGGAGTCGCTGTCGGTCACGAATCACAGACGGCGAGATGGCGGCTGTTGAAGGTCCTTCAGAAGGTGGAAGCCGACTC